CCCCAGGCAGGTCTGGAGGTTGCCTGTGAGCTAGGTGGATGCACGCACTTCAAACTTAGCCCTAGGCAACAAAGTGAGACTCTGTGTCAAAAAAAAAAAAAAAAAAGGTGGAAACAACTCAAATGTTCATTGATGGATGAATGGATAAACAAAATATGGTATAAGGCCGGGCGCAGTGGCTCACGCCTGTAATCCTAGCACTCTGGGAGGCCGAGGCGGGCGGATTGCTCGAGGTCAGGAGTTCGAAACCAGCCTGAGTGAGACCCCGTCTCTACTATAAATAGAAAGAAATTAATTGGCAACTAATATATATATGAAAAAATTAGCGGGCATGGTGCGCGATGCCTGTAGTCCTAGCTACTCGGGAGGCTGAGGCAGGAGGATTGCCTGAGCCCAGGAGATTGAGGTTGCTGTGAGCTAGGCTGATGCCACGACACTCACTCTAGCCTGGGCAACAAAAGCGAGACTCTGTCTCAAAAAAAAAAAAAATTATATATATATACACACACACACACACACACACACACAGTGGAATATTATTCAGCCTTAAAAAGGAAGGAAAGTCTGACCCAGGCTAAGACATGGATGAATCTTAAGGACATTAGACTTAGTGAAATAAGTTAGTCACAAAATGACAAATACTACATGATTTCACTTATATGAGGTATCAAGAGTAGTCTGGCCGGGCGCAGTGGCTCACGCCTATAATCCTAGCACTTTGGGAGGCCAAGGTGGGCAGATTGCTCAAGGTCAGGAGTTCAAAACCAGCTTGAGCAAGAATGAGACCCCCTCTCTACTAAAAATAGAAAGAAATTAATTGACCAACTAAAATATATATACAAAAAATTAGCTGGGCATGGTGGCGGATGCCTGTAGTCCCAGCTACTTGAGAGGCTGAGGCAGGAGGATCACTTGAGCCCAGGAGTTTGAGATTGCTGTGAGCTAGGTTGATGCTATAGCACTCTAGTCTGGACAACAGAGTTGGACTCTGACTCAAAAAAAAAAAAAAAAAAAAGAGTAGTCAGATTTATAGAAACAGAAAGTGGAATGATGGTTGCCAGGGATTAGGGCAATGGGGAAATGGGAGGTGTTGTTTAAAGGGTATAGAGTTTCAATTTTGCCAGATGAAAAAGTTCTAGAGATTGGTCGGTTGCACAATAGTGTTAATATACTTACCACTGGAGAACTGTACATTTAATAATGGTTAAGATGACAGATTTTTGTGTATTTTACTATAATTAGAAATAAAAAATTCCATGATATGGTTCTTTCATAGTTTATGTGATTGGTCCCTTATAGATGGATAGTTATATAGATTGTTTCTAGTCTTCTGATATTATAGAAAATAATATAGTCAATAATCTTTTAGATTGCTTTATAAACTATTAGAACTGTCTAGAAGTTAAGTGTCTTTTACATTGTTGTTCTTTCAGGGGTCAAGTCCTTCCTGCTCATACACTTCTGAATACAGTAGATGTTGAACTTATTTATGAGGGAGTGAAATATGTACTTAAGGTATGCTGAACTCCATTGAAGCCTGCACCTTACTTTTTGTCTCTCTTTATTAGCTCTCTTTCTGTATGTCAAGAGGCAGGGCCAAATGTCTGATTTAGTGCAGGGATGGAGATATTAGTGAAATTATAGTCATTATTTATGTCAGTAGCCTGAAGCAGTATTTCATGATTCTATGAAAATGTTCTTAATTCCTCAACTTCACATATCCTGCCAAGAGATAAAGGAGAGACAGAGAACAACTAGAACAGAGAGAAGTAACTAAGGTAACCCTATTTGCTTACATCATGACTGAGCCATTCCTAACTCTGATGCAAATAGCACCAGTGCCATGAATTAGCTTCCTTCTGACAGATCTTTCTTACCTCTGTTTTTGCAGCATAGAATTTTGTTGTGGGCTCTACCTAGAAGGGATACGCTGACTTGCCTCTTCTTATTCTCATTCCTTTACAGGTTACTCGACAGTCCCCCAACTCCTATGTGGTGATCATGAATGGGTCATGTGTAGAAGTAGATGTACATCGGCTGAGTGACGGAGGACTACTTTTGTCCTATGATGGCAGCAGTTATACTACGTACATGAAGGAGGAAGTAGATAGGTAAGTGACTGAGGTCCATTTATTGGTTATTAACGTTTTATCTTCCTCGTCACTAGCTCTTGGAATTTTTCCTGGCCTTTTTTGGTACTCATTTTTAGTTAAAAAAAAAAATAGTACATGCACTTAACAAAAACTTCAAAAGTGCTAAAATGTTTACAATTTAAAACATGTCTACCTACACTCCAATATGAGTGGACAATGAAAAATAAGTTACCCTTTTTATAAGGTTAGCTGTTAACAGTTTCTTGTATTTTTGTATGCATATACAAGTTACATATATGTACATACTGTTTTTCCTTTAAATATATTTGCAAATAAAAATATCCTTTAAACATTGTACTTTATATTCTCTTTTAACATATATTGTAGACTGTTCAATACCAGTTATAGTATTGTGAGAATTAAATGAATTAACACATTGCTTATAGCATTGCCTGCAACATGGTTAGGGTTCAAGAAATGTTGGCTCCTACATCATCATCATCTTTGTGTGTGTTTTTTAAATAGAGGTACCTGTTCTTTTTAATAGCTATGTAGTATTCCATTATGTGACTATACCCTAATTTATTTAATGTGACCATTATTTAAGGAAATTTTTATTTGATGTTATAAACAAAGATGCAATGAATGCCCTATCTGTGTATGTATTTAGAGTAAAGGTTTCAGTGTTTTTTCTTTTAAGATTAACATTTCTACCATTCATTCCCCTTTACATCCTGAGGTGCTTTATTGGTTTATATATACTCCCACTTGTCTTTTAGATATCGCATCACGATTGGCAATAAAACCTGTGTGTTTGAGAAGGAAAATGACCCGTCGGTGATGCGCTCACCTTCTGCTGGGAAGTTAATCCAGTACATTGTGGAGGATGGAGGTCATGTGTTTGCTGGCCAGTGTTATGCTGAGATTGAGGTCAGTGTGGTGAATGGGCTGTAGGGTCATGGGAGGGGAGGTAGAAAAAGGATTGGCTGGGATGGACTAGGCTGAAAAATAGCATAAAGGAAATAGAAATAGAAAAGAAAGAATATCAGTTGGCTTAATTGGAATTGTGAACCTTAAGATTTTAAAAACAAATACAAAGCTTGCTATTTTTCTTTGACAGATGAGGAATCTCTAGCTCTCAAAATAGATACTTGAATATTAGATACGCTAACTGCTTGCTATATAGAGAACAAATGATAAGTGGAGTCGGGCTCCAAAACAGACAGTAGTGGAATATGATGAATTCTAAGAAAGCCAACCACAGAGTGCAGAGGGCTGCCTAACCCAAATCAACATAGGATGCATAGCAAGGGAAGATATTCTGAAAGCAAAGACATTTGATCTTAGTTTTGATAGATAGTAATAGAGCAGGTGAAAAATGACAGGGAAGAGTATTTAAATTTGAAGGAATAGCATGTATAAAATCTCAGAAATGAGAGTGTGCTGTATTTAGGGAACTGCAAGTATAAATTGGTATTGCTTAAGAATATACTCAAGTTTACAGGGAGTGGCAAGCAAAGATGCTAAAGGAGTATTATGAGGTCTTGAATGTGAGGTCATGAAGGATCTTATAAGCTATACAAGTATGAGTTTAGACCATCCTGAAGGCAGTGGGGAATCATTGAAGGATTTTAAGTGGAAAAGTGGTCTGATGAGATCTGAGCTCTAGAATGATTGCTTTTAGTGACCTTGCTGGAGGTGTCTAGCAGGTGAGGAAATCTCTTAGGAGGTTTTTAAAGTACTCTAGGCCAGAAATAATGAGGGCCTAAACCAAAGAGATTGTAAGAGAGGAAGATTTTTGAGAGATTTTTAGAACCTGTCTGGGATTGGTAATTGGTAGACATGGGAGAAAGAGAAGTGAAGAATAACCCTTAGGTTTTTGCCTGGATATCTTAGGTAGACAGACTGAGAGTGAGAGCCTGGATCCATTGGTATAAGGAGGCAAATTCTTCCTCACTTACATGTACAAACCAAGTAAAATTATAAACTATGGCAAAATGGATTTAAAAGTTAAAAATAGGAAATGTCAGTAATTGTTATTATTTCCTAATGCAAAGTCCTGAGAGATTTTTGCCTTGGTAGTCTCTAGGAAAGTTTGATAAATTTCTATTTTTTTCTGGGTCAATTAGGTATAGTCAAGCTTAGATGCTAAGGGGAAAACCAACCTCTTTTAAACATTTACCTGTATAAAAAGAGGTCAGATTCTTAATTTATTATATTTTTTACTAAAGGTGATGAAGATGGTAATGACCTTAACAGCTGCAGAGTCTGGCTGTATCCATTACGTCAAGAGGCCTGGAGCAGCTCTTGACCCTGGCTGCGTAATAGCCAAAATGCAGCTGGACAACCCCAGCAAGGTTCAGCAGGTAAGTGGGGAGGTACTCTTAATATTGCTCTCCAAGAGCTGAAGAACATGGTAGTTTGGAGGGGCAAGTGATTTTAGTGTTTGGTTTGCTGGTTTTTTCATAAGCTGCTTTCTCCCCTTATCTTATGCTTTATATTTATTTGTGCCTGTAGTATTGTGGAACTAAAGCTTGCAAGAGTTACTACAATGCTAAGATTCTGTAATTTCCTCATGATGTTTCCCCTATTGACTTTCCTTCTGGTAGCTGGGTATAGTGAAAGGATGTCTTAATTTGGGATAATGACTCTTAAGTTGCAGTGGTGAGTTTGTACCTTGAATAGAAGGTAGTGGGTGACTTGATCTCTTGTTGGGGTTGACAGGCTGAGCTTCACACGGGTAGTCTGCCACGGATCCAGAGCACAGCACTCAGAGGCGAGAAGCTCCATCGAGTGTTCCACTACGTCCTGGATAATCTGGTCAACATAATGAATGGATACTGCCTTCCAGATCCTTTCTTTAGCAGCAGGGTATGAGTGACTCATCTTGGGGAAGGGATATACAAATGGAGTACCTATTCTCCAAAATAGTTTAAAGTCTCATAATGATTTTATAGAGGGAGGGAAAGAAAGCTGTTTGGCCTGGAACTCCGTCACCTTTAGTTGTGGGATTTGAAGTCTTTAAATCGTTGCTTCTTATCTTTGTCATGGACTTCACATTTAATCGGGATTATTCCTTTTTAAACCAGAGAATAGGGGCAATGTTAGATGCTTACATTGCCGTTTTAAAGTAAGTACTATATGATAGTGAAACCAGATACAGTTGACCCATGAACAACACAGGTTTGAACTGCATGGGTCCATTTATATATGGATTTTCAACCAAACTCAAATTGCAAATACAGAATTTGTGGGATATGAAACCCACGTATATGGAGGGATGACTTTTCATATGCACAAGTTTCATAGGGCTGGTTGTGGGGCTTGAGTATACACAAATTTTGGTATATGACGGGGTCCTGGACCCACTCCCCTGTGTATACGAAGGGATGACTGTATATTGTTTTATTTTGGGGATTGTGTTAACTTTGGCTCCTATTTTATCACTTATTTCTTTTTAGGTAAAAGACTGGGTAGAGCGGTTGATGAAGACCCTCAGAGATCCCTCCCTTCCTCTCCTAGAATTGCAAGATATCATGACCAGTGTCTCTGGCCGTATCCCTCCCAATGTGGAGAAGTCTATCAAGAAGGAAATGGCGCAGTATGCTAGCAATATCACATCAGTCCTCTGTCAGTTTCCCAGCCAACAGGTATTTATATGATGATGGTATCATTTTCCACTGGCTACCAATGCTGGAGTTTATGTTGTAGAAATCCTTCCTATTTGGATCCTCCAATGTTGACACTCTTTATAGTTTTAAGCACTGTACTCTTCACAAAACTGCCTCAGGATATGAGCCCAGTAGTGAAAGTACTGTATGTGAAATTTAAAGTATTTCTGGTTATGAGAAAAGCATGCTTTGGCCATGTACTCCATATAGCTTTATTCTTGGGGCTCTTCCCTAATTAGAGGTATTTTCATGAATTTAAAGTAGAGGGATATTGGTAGCTTTATTATCAGAGACTTCCTTAATACTGTCTCAGCAGTATCATTATACCTTGCCTATAAAGCAGATTTTCATGTAGGGAGTATAGCTAAGCAAGTGGGGAGTAAAGTTTGGATCTTGACCTTTTAAACATGTCTTGCCTGTTAGAGCCTCTGGTAAGATGACAGTTTTTGTAATGTAGTCATTAATACATCTGGGAAAGGGTAAAGAGAAGTAAAAGTTATTTGCTTATTTAGCCTAAGAATCTAAATAAACTATGCTCAGTAAATTCCAGCTGCTGCCAACATGTGAAAGATAGGAACTGTCATGTTATAACTAAGAAGATTTCTAGTGGTGATGCTACAGAGGCTAATGCTTTGGGTTTCTTTGTTGGGAGGCTTCATTTTTTTCCCTTTCTTATGCCTTAGATTGCCAACATTCTAGATAGCCATGCAGCTACTTTGAACCGGAAATCTGAACGAGAAGTCTTCTTCATGAACACTCAGAGCATTGTCCAGCTGGTACAGAGGTAGTTACATGTAACTCCAGATTCCATCCTAATACCTTCTTTCTTTTTAGTGGTGAAGAGATTTACTTCAAGTTTTACTTTGAGAAATTAGGAATACCTTATATCTTAGAAAGTACCTTTTATCTTCTAAATATCTTAGAATTATGAGCTAACACTCATATTCAATATTTCTGATAACTTCTTAATGTCCTACATCTTTCTGTCAATTATTTAGGCACAGACATTTTGGTGTTAATTTTTCTTCTGGCACAGGATTCATTGTGACATTTGTTCTTCTTAGCTTATGGAACCATGTAGTAGACTAAAGGGATATTCACAGAGCATTTATAACTTTAAGATACTTATAAATCGTTCAGATATCCCTTAGCCATTGAGGAATGTGGTAATAATTTCCACTCAGCAGTATGAACTGAATCAGGGTGTTGTTAGGTAGGGCTATGCAGTTTTTTGGTTTAGGGGGTTTTTTTGTTTGTTTTTTAGTATTTGTTTGCTTCTTTGTTTGTTTGTTTGTTTGTTTTTGAGACAGAATCCACTCGTTGGCCTTTTTGGCCCCTAAGTGGCCATGGCAATCCCAGCCTAACTTCACAGCCAAAAACCCTCAGAACTCCTGGGCCTTCAAGCATCTTTGCCCAGCCTCCCCGAGGTACTTGGCACTACAGCAGAACAACCATGCCATTTAATTTTTTTCTATATATTTTTATGGCCCAATTAATAACTTTTTTCATATTTTTTAGAAGGTTGGAAGTCCCCCTCCCGCTCTTGGCTCAGAGCTTGGTTTATTTTGAATCCTGAACTTAAGCGATTGTCCCCCCGCCCTCAGCCCAGAGGAACCCTAGGGATTATAGCAATGACCATTATTCAGCACCAGCCGTTTTGTTTGTTTTTATTTTTTAAATTTATTAATTTATTATTTTTTTTTGAGCAGAGTCCTCACTTTGTTGCCCCAGGCTAGAGAGTTGCCATGGCGCAGCCCACTCACAACCTAACCCAAAACTCTGCCAGCAATCCCTAACTGCCTCCAAGTCCCCCTCCACAAGTAGCCATGGGACTAATAGCAATGCGCCCCACCAATGCCCAAGCTAATTTTTTTCCTTAATATTATAAAGTTTTTGTGGCCAATTATTTTTTTCCTATTTATACTAGAAAAACCGGGTCCTCGCCCTTCTTGCCTCAAGGCTGGTTTCGAAACTCCTGACCTCGAAGCAATCCACCCCCGCCTTGCCTCCCAGGAGGTGCAGGAATTTAACGGCATGAGCTGCAGCCGCCTATTTTTTTTTTGAGACAGGGTCTCAGTCGTCCACCGGCAAATGCAAGGACCATGATCAACAAGCTTCATTGCAAGACCTCAAACCCTCTTGCCAAGTGGAGTTCTGCCTCAACTCCCTAGTATCCTTATGATTACGCTCATCACCATGCCCTGGGCTTTAATTTTTTAAACTTTTTAAAAAAAGAGAGTGTTTCCCCTTCTGGTTGCCTACGCTGGTCCTTTGAACTCCTGCCCCTTTAAAGCAGTCTTCCCCCCCTACATAGCCTCTTAATGTGCAGGGAAATCTTTATAGTTTGGTTGGAGTCCTACTGCCCATCGGCCACTTTTATTTTTATTTATTATTTTATTATTTAAATATTTTTAATATTTATTTAATTTTTTTTTTTGAAGACAAAGGTTCTCGCTTTTGTTGCCCCAGGCCTAAGTGAGTGCCGTGGCCCGTCAAGCCTAGCTCACAGCAACCCTCCAAAACTTCCTGCTTCGAGTGATCTCTCTCAGCCCCCCGGGGTTGCTTGGACCTCAGGAAAGCCCACCTTGCCCGCTAATTTTTTTTATAAAATATCATTTGCCAATTAATTTCCTTTCTTATTTAATATAGAGAACGGGGTTCCCCTTCTTGCAGGCTTGGTTTTTTTTTTGGGAACTCTCCTGAGCCAATCGCCCGCCTCGGCCTCCCAAGAGCTAGGATTACAGGCGTGAGCCACAGCGCCCGGCGAAAAGTCTTTCTTGATGTTTCTTTCTTTAGTAATATCCTCCCTTTGTCCTCCCCCCAGCCTACTGCCTTTTTTTAAAGACCCCTGAATAAAGTCCCAGTTCCTAGGAATAGATGAGAGCTGATTACACTGAAGTTTTTATTATTTTTTAATGTTTTATCTTTATTTATTTTTAAGAACAGGTAATACATTCACATGGTTCAAAATTCAAAAGACACAAAAGAATATGTCGTGAAAAGTCTTTCTTTCTCTGTTCTTTGACCAACACTGTTCTCTTCCCTGTAGTCAATCCGTTACCAGTTTCTTCTCTAACCTTCCAGAGATATCCTAAACTTACATAAACATATACATGTAATATTTGTTTCTTTTCACCTCTTGGTTTTTTAAAACACAAATGGTAGCATACTCTGAGGTGTTCTTTACCTTGCTTTTTTCACTCAACAGTATATTTTAGAAAGTGTTTTGTATTAGTTGGTAAAAGGCTTAATCTTTTTAATGACTATATTTTATTATATATATGAAAAGATTCTCAACAGCACTGATCATTAGAGAAATGCAAATCAAAACCACACTGAGATATCACCTCATACCCATTAGAATGCCTGTTGTCAAAAAATAGAAAATAAGAAATGTTGGCAAGGATGTAGAGAAATTGGAATGCTTGTGCACTATTAGTGGAAATGTAAAATGGTGCAGCCACTATGGAAAAACAGTATGGTAATTCCTCAAAAAATTAAAAATATGATATGGCAGTACCACTTCTGGGTATTCTGAACAAATTGAAAATAGGGTCTCAAAGAGATACTTGCACACCCTTGTTCATAGCTGCATTATTCATGGTAGATAAAAGGTGGAAACAGGCCGGGCGCGGTGGCTCACGCCTGTAATCCTAGCTCTCTGGGAGGCCGAGGCGGGCGGATTGCTCGAGGTCAGGAGTTCAAAACCAGCCTGAGCAAGAGCGAGACCCCGTCTCTACTATAAATAGAAAGAAA